ACATGCACTTCAGACTGAAGTTATGAATAATTAAATGAATATATAATTGCATCCACTTTTACCCTCAAGCTTCAACAGCAAAGACATCTCCAATCCATGTTAAAAGGATACTTCATGGGTGTTTTCAAAGACTGTGAAGGTGCTGCCAGCATCTCCAAATTTATATGCTTGTAAGTAAGAATAACAATGTCTATAAAAATCATACAGTGGAGAGTGACGCTTCATGTAAGGGTCCTGTCTACTACATCTTATGCTTTCTGAAATTTGAATTACACAATCATTTTCTCAGTACTATTTCAAATATCTTCATCATCTCTTACCTTTTCTCTGGCCAAAATTGGGCCCAAGGTTGACAGTAGGCCTAGTGAGCAGCCTTTTCAGCATATATGACTGTATCTGTGCTTTCATAATTAGGGCAAGTCCTCCAGAGATGTTTTATTAACAGAACAACAAGGCAGTTCTCCTGTTTGAAATAAAAAGGTTGTGTTTACTGCTAAGATCTTAGTGGGGAATGAGGGCCAGTCTGTAGAGCAGACCAAGCTATGTCCTGCATACAGAACTCAGAGAGGCGACACTCCATCTGCCAAGCTACATGTTCTGGGACAAAGCTCTGTCTGCCCAGGAGAAAAGAGTGGTTTTTGAAACTTTGCAAAAAAGTACCCATGTGAGAATTAGAAGAAAATAACATTCAGGTCTGAGAGATCACTCAGTTGAGAAGGAGCCTGCTGTGCAAACATGAGGAATTGAGTTAAATCCTACTGCCAATGTCAAAGCTGGGCATGGTGACACACACTTGTAATCCCATCACTGGGTAAGTACAGACAGGAGGGTGCCTAGGCTTGCTGACCAGCCAGCCTACTTGAATTTGTGAGGTCCAGGTCCCAGTGAGAGAGACCTTGTTTCAAATTAAAGTGGACAACTTCTAAGGAAAGACACCTAAAGTTGACTTCTGGCCTACACACACACACACACACACACTTCTTCACAGTTTTGAGTGCTTACTTAAAAGTTTTGCCCTGTACAAGTGTAAAAAAAAAAAAAAAAAAAAAAACTTTCTCCATGGGGAGCTAAGAGATAACCTTGATTTGACCATGTGTAAGGAAGGTCTTACAAGAAATATCAGGGAAAGCTGTATCACCATATGTTCTTTTTTAAATTTTTTTCATTTTTAATTATATGTGTGTGGGGGGTACGGTATGTATGCATAAATGCAGTGTCCCTGAAGGCCAGAAGAGGGCATTGGATTCCCTGGAGCTGGAGCTACAGGTGGTAAAGAATTGCCCAACTTAGGTGCTGGGAACCAAACTCTGGTCCTCTGCAAGAGCAATATGGTTCTCTTAACCTCTTCAGGCCTCTGCAGGTACTGCACACATGTGGTACACATACAAATAAGCAGGTACTCAGACATAGACATAAAATAAAAAGTATTTTTTTAAAGATCATGGTTTTCCACATAGAAAAGTTGTCAACACAAAACAACAAAAATTTTAAAAAGGAGGAATAAAATGAGTAATTAGTAATTCTCAGGCTACAAATGGTCCTTCCCTGTGGAAACTATGTGTCTAACAGCAGATGAAGCTTTCCTGAGAGATTCCACTCCACCATACTGTGGGACATTGCTGTCATTCTAACATTTAAGAAAGCACAGTAGGGCCTGTTCTCACCAGAATCTGACATCAGTATCTGCTCCCAGAAGTTAGGTGGTGCCTTCTACCTTACCATCCTCTGTTCATTCACCTAAAGCCTTCCGTTATCCCCCACCATTCTTGACAGACTTCACATCTCTTCCAGTCCGTGTTCCTGTATGAAGTATGGCAAAGTTCACAGATAATTTTGACACAGCACTGAGGCACATGTTCAAATGAGTGCTGCTCTCTCTGATGCTATCCCCATAGGAGGGCTTACCCTAACCATCCAGGTCAGGATGTCTTTCAGTCTCTTCTAGATTGCAACAAGTTAGTAGTGATTGAACGTTTTTCCATGTTGCTTATTATACTGGCTCTGAATAAAGTCCTACAATCCTTTTGTTTTGCTTTGTCCTTTAATAACTTGTTTATATCATGAGCTGTTTGCATCCACCCACTCCTCCACAGCTTGTGCTAGTCCTGCTGAATACTGCAGTTCTAGAAGCCTCTGGCATCTGACTCTGCATATGGTGTTCCCTCTGCTTAGATCATCCCTTGTCACTAAGCTCAAGACCACCTCTTCAGATGCCTCTTTTTATTGTCCCACTCAGTTCCCTCTCATATGTTTAGCTCCCTTCTATTTAGCAGTGCTTTAAAAGTACCAGGGCCTCCTGGACCTACTAAGTGATCACTACCTTCATTTGTTCCCTTCTCAGTGTGTTGATGAGCTCCTGTGTTTTATTTTCCTGTATCCTTAGAGGCCCAACAGCATCAAATGAGATGTTGTTCATAAATATGTATCAAACAACTAGAACCTGGAAAGAAGTGGGTAACCTAAAATGACAACTCTGTTTGTTCGGGTGCTGGGGATCAAACCCAGGGCCTTGATCATGCTATACAAGTACTCTACCACGGAACTACCTCCCCAGTAGATTACAACCTTGAAAGTGAAAATTCTCTTAGCTGAGTATTAAGTTCAAGTTATTAGATGATTCTGTAAATAGCGTTAGGCAACTCAGATTCTGTATTGCATACTACAAACATACAAAATTTCAATTGGATCTAATTTTTCAAATGTTGAAAAAAAAAGAAACTATAAAATTGCCAGAAGAAAACAACTACTTGTTTAGTAATGACTATTCGTATAATTTTAGAGCATGACTACTTAAACTTAAAACCAAAGCCAGGAACCACAAAGGAAAATGTTGATGGTAGCTCTGAGCTAACCACTTTCTAAGTAAGACCTTCTACCCAAGGTCTAGAACCTACTTTTTTGGGAGTCATATTTTTCCCCAATTTAAGAGTCTAGATATATACCAATTTATGGAGGTACATAGAAACAATAAATGATCTTAAACATACATTAAATATTGCCTCCAAAGTCTGTAAATATAGGATTGAAGTAGATTTTAATACTTTTTTCATATTAACATTTGGATACACTGCTTTAGAGGTTTTGTATTTAACTTAAAAGAAAAAGATGCTAAGCATCTGATCTGAAAATGTAACTATTATTTGAAAATAAGTTAGTAGTCTGATGTTTCTAATTTTTTAGACATTCTTTGAGGTATTGTTTTTAACTATGAAAAGTGGAGCTACTGAAATGTTCAATAAAGAATTATTTACATAATGGTGAAAATTAAACATGTGGTACATACCTGTAATCCCAGCAACTGGGAAGTAGAGGAAGGAAGACGAGGAGTCTTTTTAAAAGAAAAGGAAAACAGATTATAAGCTTAGTTACATTATATTTAAAGACATGAAATTTATCTGCATACACAAATTTGAAAGGATACATAAATGTACAATAAAGATTGCCTTTGGGGGTTATCTATAGTTTCTATGTCTCAACATATGTATGTTCATGAGATGGGGACCAAAAGAAAAACTAGCAAAATGGCTTATTCAAAGCCAAATACTGATTACTAAATGGTAGTTACTAGAATGAAGAAACAAGACCACAAAAACTACCCCCTTCACGTGATTTCAAAACCTTTTCTGCCACCTTGTGGGGAACTCTACACATTGCAGACTGAAAGCAAAATTCAGAACTATGAAAAATCTGTAACTGAAGAGGAAATGTTTTACACTGCCCAAGTTCTTTAAGGCTCTGGTGATTGTCTGTTTTTCTTACAGCTGCTTAAGGAAATTACTGGAAAATAATGACGCCTAACATTTGTGATTACAATATGCCAAGCACTAGTCTCATAAATATGTATTACTTCATCTCACAAATAGACATTACTCTTCCCCTATCTTACAGCTAAATCACAGAGCTCACCTCTGCCAATAGAGAAAAGATCTGAGCAACTGCTCCAAACTGCTCTTTTGGGTCAATGCTGTAATTTTTTTTATTTCTGATTCCCTTCGGGACTGATTATTCCCTAATAGAATTGCCCCAACAGTTCACTGCTAAACCTTTTAGAGTTGAGCAGGCACAAGTTCAAAGGGAATCTTTTGTGTCCTCCAAACTAGTAATTTCCATGAAGCTGTCTTTAAAGTATGGTTCATCGATGAGGCCCTTCAGAACGTTGTCACAGGCTCACACAGAAAAGTAGAAAAACAGATTCTTTAAGCATTTTAATTACCACAGCTAATTTTCCGACTGTAGGTGGTAAAAATGTTTTGAGTTGAGCTTCATATATTTTGCATTCTACCATTTAATTTTATCAAGGTGTGATGCGCAAATAATTGGGAATTTTTTTTCTTTCTTTCTTTTTTTAAGGCTAAAGAGGTAGCTCAGCTGGCAGAGCGCAAGCCTGGCATACAGGAAGCCGAGTTCAGCCTTCAACGCCACACAGACCGGGTATAAAGTCTGTAATCCCATTACTTTGGAGGTCTGGGGCAGGATTAGAAATTCAACCTCATCGTTCAGGTATATAGAGAATTTGAAGCCAACTTGCAACACCTAAGACCCGATCTCCGTACGAGAGAGAGGAGAGGAGAGGAGAGACAGAGACAGAGAGACAGGCAGGTTACTCCCACCATTTCTGGTGAAAAGCTATTCACATTGGAGCGTTTACCAAAGTAGAGATTCTTCTGGGACCTGGCTACGCCAAATACGGCCATTAAGTATTTTTCATCCATTCTGTAATACAGTTAATGACTAAAGACAGGCAGAAAGAAAATAGCTCTTTCAGAGAGCAGGGCGACGTCCCAACAAACTTAGGTCGGGAAGGAAAGGAAGTGCGCAAGCCCTGGAAACGCCACTAACAAGCCGAGCACACTGCAGTCCAACAAAACTACGCGGCCCCACGAGCGCATGCGCAGATCCGGCCGCGTCCGCCCAGGCGCGAAGTACGCTGGGGGTTTCACGACGACGCCACGCCCCCGCCTCCGCCCCAGCCGCGCCTAGTGCGGAGGCGGTCACTTCCGCCAGGGCCCGGTCACTGCATCCGGGTCAGCGGCTACTCTGCGACTGCAGCTTCGGCGCTTTGGCGGCGCCGGGCTCGGGTCTCCACCGCCGGCCGAGGGGAGCGGGCTCCGCTCGGCACCCCTTTCTGCGCCCTGGCCGTCAGCCCCACGTCGCCGGCCTGGAGGGGCGAAGGGCACGAGGGGGCCGCGGCGTCCTCCGGGGTGAGTGTGGCCGAGGGTCGCGGGCCGGGCTGGCAGGCACTGGCGGCCGGCCGAGGGTCGCGGGCAGACGGGGCAGGGCCACCAGCTGGATGACCAGACCCGCGCTACAGGCTTCCCGGGGCCCCGCCCTACTGGGTCCCCGCCCCTAGCCGGGCCCTGCTCTCCTTCGCCCGCCTGGCTCCCCTTCCTTTTCCGTCTGTGGCGCGCCTGGTGTGGAACTTTCCCGGTCCAGGCTTTCCCCCGCCGCCCCAGCCACGTTGGTTCCGTGTTTCTATCCGGCGTTAGTCCCGCTCAGAACAAAGAAGCTTGAGCTTGTGGTGCACCTTAGAGCCTCAGGGGATAGACACAGACAGCATACACATTCCGAGCTTAAGTCATCAGAGCTTGCATACACCTTCCTGCTCGCTAACTACTGTAGGGTGTGTACGTGTCTGCCCAGCCCCAGTGCGTGTGCAGACACTTAACTGCTTGTGTCCAGCCCCAGTGTGTGTGCACTTAACCTCCGCCTAAGTACCTGGCAAAATTGGTTTGTATTACCTATATGCGCCTAATGCCACTGGAGAATTATTGCCGAGTCAGTTCAGGTTCAGGTTCAGACGGAACCTTACTTGGGTCTTTACTACGTTGCTTGGAAACTGCCCATGACTTGGGAGTCTTTGAGGATCTAGCTTTGGCACTGCCGCAAGGTAGTTCTAGTGCCTCCAGTATATGATTGCATCTTAGTGTTGCTTTTTTCAGCCTCACTTTTGTTTTCATCAGGAGCTTTTCCCTTATACTTAATTTCTCACTTTCAATTGAATGTATTCTTTTTTCTTGTATTTTATAAGAAGTGTGCAGTTACAGAAGTTCTTTTCAAAGATTTATTCTTTGTGTGTGAAAGGGGGATGACTTCAGAGACTAGAGGGCGTCTGGTCCCCTGGAGCTGACAGATAGTTGTGAGCAGCCAAATATGGATGCTGGGGCTGGAACTCCCTTCCTCCAGAACACTAAGCACTCTTAACCACTGAACCATCTCTCCAGCCCTCAATTGCAGAAGTTCTGTAGTTTGTGAATGGATACTTCCTCAAAGTTAGAATTGAAGATACCCAATTAAGTTCCCTTTACTTGAATTAAGCTCTTGTCACTTTGCGTTGTTTCTCTTCCTAGTCTTCACTGTCCTCTAGCTGTAACCTGATATTATTGGTTTTGGGAGGCTTGACCCTCTTGTATGCATGGAGCTTGAACTAAATTATAAATCCATACTGTTACTGTCTTTAGGCATTACAGTACCTAGAAACTAAGTATATCCAAGGCCTTTCAGACCTCTGTGTGCAAGGTTGGTAGTGAACTGGAGACAGTGTGCTGTATTAAAAACAGTTCTACTCTAGAACTAGGAACCAGGATATGGAGTCACTGCCTCATGGCTAAGATAAAGGGATAATTGCACCAGTGTCTTATATTTGTCAAACATGTTAGTTGAAACATGGTTACTAATCCTTAGTTATTAATGGATATAAAAACAGCAAATGGGAAACATTCTTTTGTACAGTGGTTTCCTTTGGTTCTATCTGGAGTAATTCTAGTAGAAGGAGTGAGGAGGGAAGAGGGCATCTGAGAACAAAACAGGATGTAGGAGCTTTGGCTGACGATGGATCAGATCTTGAGAAGCAAGATAGAAATATTACAAATAGTCACAACTTTATATTACAATCAGCTTATAACTCACAGACTGTTAGAGATCAGGTTCAGAGTTTAATCTACTTGAAGGTAGCAGAGTATCCCCAGTATGTTCTGCATATGATAAATTAATAAATGTACCATAAATAGGTGCCAGATTTGTTTTGTTTCTTGAAACAGGGTCTTCCTGTAGCCCTAACTGGCCTGTAACTCGCTATGTAGACCAGGGTGACCTCAGTCTCACAGAGATCTGCCTGTCTCCACCTCCTCCATGCTGAGATTAAAGGTGCATGCCACCACGCCCTACTTGTTTTGGTCTTTTTGAGACAGGGTCTCCCTGTAATCCCAGCTGGCCTGGATTCGCCATGGAGACCATGCTGGCCTTAAACACACAGAGATCCACCTGCCTCTGCCTCCCAAGTGCTGGGATTAAAGGCATGCACCACCATGCTCAGCTCTTATTTCATTCTTTAAAAACCCATGATAGAGATGGGTCAATCAGTAAAGCCTGAGGACCTGCGTTTGATCCCCAGAACTCACATAAAATGTCAGATGCAGGGGCTGGAGAGATGGCTCAGCAGTTAGAACACTGGTTGTTCTTGCAGAAGACCCGGGTTCAAGTCTCAGCACCCACATGGCAGCTAACAACTGTCCATAGCTCCAGTCCCAGGGGATCCGACAGCCTCTTCTGACCTCTGCAGGCATTGCATAATATGAGTGCACTTACCTACATTCAGGCAATGCACACATACACATAAAATAAAATGTAAAAAAAAAGTCAGATGCAGTGGTGTGCATTGGTAATTCCCACATTCCTATGGCGAGATAGGAGGTAGAGGCAGGAAGTTAGTGGACCTGCCAGCCTGGAGCATGCAGCACAGAAACAAGTGGAAGGAGAGAACCAGCTCCTAAAAAGTCCTCACACACACAAACACACACCCTAGATGTCTGAGCATGGTGACACATACCTTTAATACCAGCACTGTATAGGCAAAGGCAGGTGGATCTCTGGGATTTTAAGGCCAGCCTGGTCTACATGGTGCGTTCCAGGCCAGCCAGAGCTACGTAGTGAGACACTGTCTCAAAAAACAAAACAAAAACAGCAATATCCCACCCACCCCCCAAAGAAAGTAGATGTTGCCTCAAGGGAACAATGACAAGCAAGCATGCAGGATTTTTCTGGGGATGTTTTTTGTATTTTGTTGATTTTCATACGCATACAGGCTGTTCAAAAATAGGTGAATGAAAATGAAGCAAAACCTTGTGTGTAAGTGCTTTCCTTCTGCCAACCCTATCTGAGTGCAGTGTAGACAGCCGTTACTGGCATCTATTCTAGCAGCACTGCTAAACTACATAGTTGGAAAGTAACTATGGAGCACTGTAAGTTAAAATCTAGACAATTCTAAATGGGATCCAAATATTTAATTCTGCCTAGCTGCCTGTGGATTTGGATTGACCCCACCTCTCTGAAGTTATGTAGGAAAGTTATGAAGTTACCTTTGATTTTTAACCTGACTTAGTGTCAAAGACTTGATTTCATCATGACTTCTTCAAGTAACTGGCCTAAGGATACTCTGCCACTGACACCAAGCTGTTGAGAATCAGGTTATTTCTGTGGTAGTAGATTATTTTGACATGTAGCATTTTAAAGTATTGTTTCCCTATTCTTTTTTTTTTAAAGGAAACAAAAATTAACTTTTGAGTCGGCAGTATCCTGATTTCCTTTAAAGTAGTTATACTTATTTTAACGCCTTTCTTGTTGTTTCCTGTTCTTACAGCTGCTTGGTGATAAAATGCTTCCAAGAACAGAACTCTCAATTGTTAAAATTGTTTTTATATACCTAGTATACTGTTCCTCTCTCAAGTTCTTAATGAAATGGTAGAGTTTGTCTCTGTTCTTCTCTGCTTAACTAGCTTAAATAATGGTCCCCAAATTTAAAAATCCATGACAAAAGGATTGAGGTATATTAACATCACACAGCTGAGTGTGCTAAAGTTGAGTGAGTAGTCTTTGAGAGCTGAAGGGCTTAGGGTTTCTGTGTGTGTGACTGAGAATGGAACTCAAGCCTCCCAAATGCTATAGCTCCAGCCTTGTTTTCACTGTTTATTTTGAGACAGGGTCTTACTGAATTGCCCAGGTTGGCTTTGAACTCACTCAGTAGCGCAAGTAGGCCTTGAGCTTACAGTACCTTCTGCCTCTGGAAGAGCTAATATTACAAGCCTGTATTGCCAGGCCCAACTGGCTTTCTGTATATTGGGAGCCCTTTTTTTTTCTTTTTCTTCTCTTTTCAGCACATGGTCTTGCTATGTAGCCCAGGCTAGTCCCAGACTCACAGTGTTCCTTCTTGCCTTAGCCTTCAGAGTGCTGGGATTGCAAACCTAAGCTTCCCTGGAGGACAGACTTTTAAAGGAGTTGTTTCCTAGTGATAAAGCAACTAAAAGGCGTGATTTGTCTTCAGGAATTTCACAAGAAAAATATGCCTTCTTACAAATAAAGAATAATTTCACCAACAGTGATTTATATTGCATATATCTATATTCTCAAAAAAGTATTTTTATAACATTTTTAAGGGGAAATCAGACATTATATAGTTCAACAAGTAAAATAAGTTTGAGGGGTTAAGCAAAGGCTTGTTTAACAGTGGTGTGCCTTACAGCCAAATCCTTACTCTGTTATAGGCTGTGGCCAAGCATGATGATGGGGTGGAGGATATTTTCATTGCAGCTTTCAGTCCCTACTTTTTTTTTTTTTTAAGTATTTTTCTATTTGAAGAGACACCCAGAATGTCCTAATTTTTATCCCAGCAGCTAGATAGAAAGGTGGAACAAGATCATGGGAACTCTGGTTATTTTTTAATTTTCATGTCCCTTCCACCTTTATTTTGACAGGGGTGCCATCAAAGAAGCAGTCTATAAAGTGATCATCAAAGTGTTTTCATGAACTTTTCAATATTACTTGGTTCATTTGTTTTCTGGAAAAATTTAAAATGCCTCATATAAATTGACTTTTCCAAGGAAATACTCTGATGATAGAAAATCAGCATCTGACCTTTTTTCTGTGCTAACAGATAGATCTTCAAAATGTACACCTCAGGGCTGTAGAGATGACTCAGTGGTTAAAAGCACTTGCTACTCTTGTAGATGACCCCATTTTCAGTTCTCAGCACCTACATAGCAGCTCATAGCCACCTCTAACTCCAGCTCTAGGGAATCTGATGTCCTCCTCTGGCCTCCACAGACACCAGCACACGTGTAGTACACATACATACATGCAGGCAGGCAGGCATACACATAAAATAAACAAATAGACTTGGGGAATGTTTGATACCTTGCCAAGTATAGGTAAACATACACTGAAAGAGAGAAATTCCTAGTCACTACAAAGACATGAATTTAGTTTACCAAATGAAATCCAACACTTTAGGAATGTAGTTTCCATTGTAAATTGTTTTTAGAATGCCATTTGATGAGACTGTGAGTGGTTTTCATCATGTATTTAAAGAGTTTCTAAAAAAGTTACACATAACATAGATTTTAAAAATCAAGTAGTGTAGGATGTACTATGGGAGCTGTGTAGACATATCATGATGGGATTCTTTCCCCTGCCTACTGGCCTCCCTCCTCTTCTACAGGTGCCAGCCACTTGGAACTCCTGGGGCTGGTTTGGTTTGGTGGTGGTGGTGGTGGTAGTTTTTAGTCGTACTCTGACTCTTCAGAAATATGCAAAGGGGTTGGAGAGATGACTCGGCAGTTAAGAGCACCGGCTGCTCTTGCAGAGCACCCAGGTTCAGGTCCCAGCACCACATGGAGTCTAACAACCTTCTGTAACACCAATTCCAGGAAATTTGACTCCCTCTTCTGGTCTCTTGAGGGCCATGCATGCATGTGGTATGTTTATATAATGCACAGGCAAAACGCTCATACACATAAAATAAAAATCAATTAATTTTAAAAACTTTTAAAAAAGAAATACATGAAGCTAGGCATAGTGGTTCATATCTGTAATCTCAGAATTCAGTAGGTTGAAACAGAAGATCACAAACTTGAAGGCAGCCTGAACTATAGGGCAAGAACTTGTCTCAAGAATGTGTTCCTGCTATATTTTTGTAACTTCTTCTGTTGACTCACTCCAAATGAACAAAATCTCACACCCTTTGCTCCTGTATTTGTCACTGTTTTTATTCTGCTGTTTGCCAGCTGATCTTCTTGGCTTCTTACAATACCTCAAACCTTTCTTATTCTGTCAGACAAAAGATCAGTCATTAGCTCACTTTATAAAATGAGAAACTTGGTGTTCATATACTTTATTGGAAAAACTAAAGTTAGAATTGGGGTCATAAGTTAAGAAATGTAGTTGCATGTATAAAAGCATCGTCAGGTGCTTTTACTCAAAGCCTGAGAGACACAGATGGGAGGCAGGTCAGAAATGAGCACAGTTTGTTCATGGACAGGTTACCAAATGGGCTTCAAGTGGCTCAGGAGCTATGGCACCAGAATTATAGAGGCGGGTCTATAAATGCCAGCATATCCCTGGGCTCTGAGCTTGCTAACTAGTGAGTGTAAATGTCATTTACTAGTGTCATAGACTCTATCTTTGTCCAGTGGACAGAAAACTTAATTATGTGAGAGATAAGACACTTACTTACTAACTTACTTACTGAGATAGGGTCACTGTGACACCCAGACTGGCCCGAAACTCTCTTCTCTTGTCCTCGCCTCATGTTTTTTATGATGCATAATATAAAATACATACTAAGCAGGGGCCAGGTGTAGTAGCGCATGCCTTTAATCCCAGCACTTGGGAGGCAGGGGCAGGCTGAACTCTGTAAGTTCAAGGCCAGCCTGGTCTACATAGTGAGTTGCAGGACAGCTGGGGCTACAGGGAGACCTTGAAAACATATTAAGCAACAACCAGATGCAGTGTGCATACATGTAACTGAAAACAGGTACTTTCACCTGAAACGTCCTTTCTATAACCAATTCTTAATTTACTTGAGTATGTATGTACTTTGAGTATTTTCTCTTCTAATTCTTAAGAAAAAATTTGAACCTGATAAATGGGTTTCTTAAGAGCCCTGTGGTTGCTGGCATGGAGATTCAGACTGGGAGTGAGGTTGTTGCACCTTTATAGCAGATGAAAAGGAAATGGAAACTAAGCTGTTGGGGCTTTTTCTCTTGGAAGGACCTCAGCTGCCTGGACTGTCAGGAGTTGGAAGTTGACATTGAGTCCAGACTGAGGATGGAAGGTGTGGAGCTGAAAGAAGAATGGCAGGATGAAGATTTCCCAATGTGAGCCATACTTTAAACAGATTTAGAATAGAACTTCAGAATTTGTTTGTTGAGAAGTCAATCAAAGGATGTTGGACTTCTTTAAAAAAACTAAACTATTAAGGTGATCATTGGATACTAGAAAATGAAAGTTATTTTCCAAAGTGATTCTCCTTTATTTTCCAGCTTAAATATGTGATAGAATTTTTCATATTTGCTTTAATCATTTAAGTTTCAAGTTTCTGTTCTAAACGATACTTTAAGGTCTCTTGCTTTTAGGAAAGAGGTATTAGTTGCGTGCAAGAATTATGAAATGCAGGCATGGTTGTGTGCACTTGCAGTCCCAACACTGGGGAGATTCTGGGGCTTACTGGTCAGCTACCCTAGGCTATTTAATGTGTCACAGGCCAGTGAGAGACCCTGTCTAAAAAAGTAAAGATAGAAAGAATTGTACCTGGGGAACAAGGGCTTAGATTGTCCTGACTTCCAGATGTACATATGCACCTGCATGCATACACACACAAACTGATTTGTAAAATTACAAAAGCGTAACACAACTTTTATTTCATTTTCCATGTAACTGTGTAAGCTATAATTTTAATGGATCTTTGAACTTCAAAAAAACTTTTTAATTTCTGGGTTAAAAAGCTTATCTGTGTCTTCTAGACCTTTACCAGAAGATGATAGCATTGAAGCAGATACACTAGGTATGACTGGACCAGAGAGCCAGCCTGGTAAGAACTTAGCTTTGAATGAAATGTGTGTTGTTTTTTAACACATCTGTTTTTGAGGAAGAAAAAGTCATTTGAGCTTTTATTCTAACATAGGGAAACAAAGGACCAGCTTTTGGAATCCTACAGAAATTTAACTGTTTATAAAAAATGCCCCTTTGGCTTCATAAATTTTTACAAGGAGTCAAGGAATGCATATTTAAGAAGTGACTATAAAGTCTGCCTGTGTTGTTTAAAAGGATATGATGCCTTATTGCTCTCTTGCCAATGATGAAGTAGTAGTAAATAAATTTTTTAAAAAAGAGCACTCATGTGTTGGCTCAGAATTACCTGTAACTCCAGCTCCAAGGGATCTAGTGCCCTCTTCTGGCCTCTGCAAGCACCTGCATGCACGTGCATATACTCTTAAACAGATGTGTATATACATAATTTTAAAATTAATCTTTTTTTAAAATGCAACAGCAGTAATCACAGTCCAGATTTTATCAGTTAGTGCTTTAGAATTTTCTGTGTTTTTCTCAAGAATCAAGTGACTGAAATGTTTCTCTTCAGCTGGAGCATCCAAGCAATCCAGTATTATTTTTCCTTATTTTCCAGTTCCAGGCTCATTAGAAGTTAATGGAAATAAAGTACGGAAGAAACTAATGGCCCCAGACATTAGCCTGACTTTGGATCCTAGTGAAGGCTCTGTGTTGTCTGATGATTTGGATGAAAGTGGGGAAATTGACCTTGATGGCTTAGACACCCCTTCAGAGAATAGCAATGAGTTTGAATGGGAAGGTAACTGCTTCACTGTGTTTATGTGAGCTTTGTTGGTGTGTATGATATGTACTTGTTTTATCATGGCATTCTCCTTAGGAAAATTAGGATGCCACTAAGTCATACATCATGAAACCTGCTAAAAATCCACTGAGGGATTTTGTTTGAAATACGTTATTCTTTCTACAATTCATAAGTTTGTTACTAAAGTAGAAGATTCTGAAAATCTTGAAATTTTTCTGTAGGACTGCTTATAGTACATAATGCAAATAAGTTGGTTTTTTTTCTTACTTGCCCGGTACTATGGAGTTTCATGCTTTCATAGTTGCTCCATTAAGTATTGCCTGATAATTACAGCATGTTCTTCAGTCTATCAAGTAAGAGGAAAGCCTTTGAAGAGACACATGGAATGTGCTGGAAAGTACACGTTTGCCTAGTGGTGCTTCACTTCGGAAGTTACCAACTTCAATCAGTATATGCTCTTAGCTCCCTGCCCAGCCTTGTGTCACCATTGTAATTATTTGGAATTCAGAGGAATTCGTGTGTTTTACATGCTTTCTTGAGTTAGGTAGTAGTTGACTGTCTTTATCCAGTTGTTAATAATCTATATGTTTCAGCTGTAAAATGAATTTAACATCAAAGCAATATTTAGCATTAGACATTTTATCTATAGGA